ACGGCGCGGGGGCCCCGGGGCGGGCCCCGCAGCCGCTTCCAGATCAGCTGGAAGCGCCGCGGGTTGGGCCGGGTCCTGCGCGGCTTTGCTCAGCGTCTCCCTGGTCTGCAGCACTGCAGCGTCTCCCTGATCTGGAAGCGGCCGCGGGTCCGGCCCCGGGTCCTCCGCCGCTTTGCTCCCCGTCTCCCTGGTCTGCTGGCTCCCCCAGCAGACCAGGGAGACAGGGAGCAGCTTTTCTCGCCCCGGAGGAGGCGGGCGGCGGGACCAGGCATCCCACTGCTCCAATCCTCCGGGGCGAGAAAATCCCCGTTCGTAACTGCGGATCCGACATAAGTCGGATCCGCGTAATTCGGGGACTGCCTGTATAGTGATTTTGGACTTTTTGATTTTTGGGTGCCTAACCTGATACCCCTTAAAGGTCCTGATTTATAAAAGGTGGGTAGTCAGCAATTTCTAAAAATCAGGCCCCATTAATGCATCTTTGGGACCCCCAAAATTGAGGCACCCAAAATCACTAGCCTCTTTTAAAAATCTAGGCCAGTGTTCACAATAATATCTTATATTTGCAGAGAGTCTTCCATCCCAAAGGTTCCTAGACCCTTTAGGACACGGTTGATGGGTGCCCAATAGAGTTCATAGGGAACATCTCTTTAAAAATGTGTAAGATGTACTACAGTTACATTGTTACGCTCAGTGTTGTACAAGAACTTACCTTAGAATGTCTTATTTTCAGGGGGTTCTGACTATTGTTTGAGCTGAAACATAGGGTATAATCCTATATTCTTTGTACATCCCTGACTCAGACTGAAATGAATGGGAGTTTATATTGCAGTCTTCATACAATGCACAGTCAACCTGCGGAACTCCTTGGCAGAGGACATTGTGAAGACCAGGACTTTAACAGGATTCAAAAAAAGACCTAGATAAATTAATGGTTCATCAGTGGCCATTAGTGAGGATGGGCAGGAATGGTGTCCCTAGCCTGTTTGTCAGAAGCTGGGAATGGGTGACAGGGCAGGATTCACTTGATGATTTCCTGTTCTGTGGATACCCTGTGGGGCATGTGGCATTGGTCATTGTTGAAAGACAGGATACAGGGCCAGATGGACCTTTGGTCTGACCCAGTATGGCCGTTCTTATGTTTCTTATGTAAAAAAATGCAGGCTCAGGCCCTTTGTTGATGTGGTTTCCAGGCCTGTCAGAAAATTGCTGTTATGACATTATTAATATGGTCTTCATAGCCCCTGATCCTGCAAACACTTACTACCCAGTGAAGTACTTCAAGCTGTGAGTGATTCCATTGACTTCAGTGGGAATACTCACAACAATAAGCAAATCTCACAGGGGTTTCGGTGTTACTCTGTAACTATAAAAACAACGAGGAGTCTGTGGCACCTGAAAGACTAACAGATTTATTTGGTAAAAACTTAAAAAACAACAAATGGTCTGGTAGCACTTTATAGACTAACAAAACATGTAAGAAAAAGCCACTTGGTCAGATGCATGGAGATGTCAGATCCATCCATCTAACAAAGTGGTTTTTACCCATGAAAGCTTATGCCCAAATAAATCTGTTAGTCTTTAAAGTGCCACAGGACTCCTTGTTGTTTTAACAATAAGCAAACATTTGATAGCAGGTGTTTGCAGGACTGCATCCGAGAGACTTAATCCTGGAGAGTACTCAACACCCGCCAGAATCAGCCCTTAAATTTATAACATGATATAGCCCACTCTAAGACAGACTTTTATCCCTGTGTAATGCCTAAAATTCAGATCTCTCTATGTCCAAATTTGGAAAGTTAACTCTCAAGAGGAAAGAAGATATTTTTTCACTATTTTTGAAGAAAATTCAGACCAGACATTTAGAGTTACAAATAAAATACATTTTCAGATGGGTTGATCACTTGTAGAAAGTCTCAGTTCAAGGAAAAATGTTTTCTTCTTCCTACAAACTTTACTTGATATTATAGGGGGGTTTTCAGTTTTCTGGGTGCAAAACAAAACCAAAAAACACACTCAAAACAAAACCAAAGCACAAACCTCACAAAATTAAAGAACTCTCCTTCTTACTCTTCCTCATACATTATGAAGAAACCCCACTACCATCGCATGTATTTTAATTTTTTTGAGCGCTAACAAAATAAGGGTTTTTATAGGCTTCTGACACTTTGGAGCTTAAGTAGCACTCAAAAGACTTTCAGTCTTTTAAATGAAAATTTAAACACACTAGTCCAGCTTTAGAAAATTCTACTCACCAGGGATGAATAATTTGTATTGTTTTTAGTGAAGAAGTAAACACCTCATTAGTTCTTTATTATCATGGTGAGGTAGAGCAAATGGATGTTGTGCCAGGACTGGCAATTTTTCATTATAATTTTACCTGTAAGGAGGATGGAAATACTTGCCCATCTGAATTAATTTTTTTTTAAATAAAGAGCTTTAAAAGGTGATATCAGGATTTTTCATTAGGAGTGTGATTCAGTTCCTACTGAAATCACTGAAAATACTCTCCTGGACTTCAATGGACATTGGATCGGTTGTCAAAGGATAAACAGTTTTGACAATGCACTGTAAAGCAAATCCTATATTCCTTTAATTCTCACCTATCGTGTGGGCTTGTCGTTTGTCTATTCACCTGCATTGAACCAATCTGCCTATATCAGGTGGGAGTTCAAACTTATTCCATATGCTAACACAGTGTTTCTCAAACTGTGCTCTGCAGAACCATCTCCAAGGGCTCCGCAGGTTGACAAACTGGAAACATCGGTAGGTACAACGTATACAATCAGTGGACCGCTGGGGCTCCACATAAGTACAACACATACAATCAGTGGACCGCTGGAGCGCCGCATAAATTTTTACGCATGTAAAGGGCTCCGGAGCCCAAAAAGTTTGAGAACTACAATTATGCCACATTAAAAAACCTATTTAGGAGGGGGTAGAACAAGTTAAATCAATTGCTAAACTGGACCAAAAATACTAAATAGCATTGACCAAATCCTCAACTGGTGTAAGTAGGCATAGCTACATTGAAGTGAATGGACCTTTGTGAATTTATTTAAGATGAATTTCTGGCCCCATGAAAATATCAATCAAAAGAAAAAAGGTAATTTGTCCTCATTGTGAAGATACAAAAGGGCACATCTGGAATGTATTCTGCATATAGGTTTTTATTGTGACCAAATTATTTAAGGTCATAGTAATATCTGTACATTTTTGCTGTTATCATTCTCTCTTACTACTTATTTTAACATGCCCATGCCCATGTGCACATGTCTAAGTTAAATAAATGTATCGTTTTTAAAAGGTTTTTATCTAAGCACCTCATTCTAAAACAATCCCATAGCACATGTAACTGACTCATGTGGTGGAATATATCTGCAAATGCAAGAAATCAAAAAGAAAAGCTTGTAAAGACACATCATAGGAATGAATTCAACAAAGTTAGTAAATACGTTAAAAAAAAATCACCTGTTTGGGGGATTGTAGTTTGCAGGATTCAAGACTCCCCAGACAAACCTAGAGCAAGAGATCTTCTCTTTCTCTTTCTGTGTCTCTTTCTTCCACTTTTTCACTTGGTAGCTGTCTTCTGAAAAAGGCACTTCTCCTTTTTTCTTTCTGGTTTTTTGCCCCTGTTCCCCTCCCTGATTTTTCAATCAGATTATTTGTGTCAAAATCTGGCGGTGAAGAAACAACCAATGGAGAAGCAGAGCCTGGACCGTATTTGCTTATCAAAACTTTCCAGGACTTTGAAAACTTGAAGAGAATTCATGTTGCTCAACTATGCACTGTAGAAGCAGTGCCCTTAACACAGTGGGGCTTTCTGCTGAAATAATCTTTTATGATACTGACAAAGTGCATGACACAGGGAATAATGTACCAAACAGACTCCCCTCTCCCCCCAAAAAAGGCTGTTAAGGAACCTGTATTTTTCCACACATTCCTTTACAACTCCCACCAATATCACACCACTCTCTCATGCATACACTCATACACTTCAGTCTCATGTACCAAACCATTTATGCACATACACAAGATTTTTTTTTAAATTTCAAAATGTATTTTTACTTCTGCAGTCTACATAGAAAAAAGATTAGAAATCTCCACCTAATATCTGCAAAAGAAGTTTGTTAATGATCTTGGATTTTTACTAACTACATACATGTAATGTATATACATATTTATCTTCGTTGCATATATATCCAACTACAGATATGTATGTAAATTCAGATTATTATATATGTATACAATACTTCATTATTCTTGTATATATTATATAAATATATATTAAGAAAATGCAGGTTAATTAATAGACATATTTCCAATATTCTTTTCCACTCCAGAGTGAAGATAAGAAGAATAAAGATAAGAATTTATACTTCTGTAGCTTCCTTCCAAGCGTCACAAGGGAATTTGTTAATACAAGTCAACCAAACATCATAACATCTTTGTAAGGCACTTTGTAAATGGGGAAATCTAGTTACATAGTGGTAAACTGACATGCCCACAATAACACAGTGAGTCTGTAGAGAGCTGGGAACAGAATCTCTGAGTTCTGAATACCAACAGCTAGCAGCAATCACTAGACAATTCTCTCACTTGCTGCACTGATACTAATGTGGTCCTCCCAAATGACATGTCAATAAAAACTTGTCCTCCATTTTCTCCTATTCTCTCTGATCCTTCCTATTAGATACACACTTGTATTATAGCATGTGCAAAGCATTGTGCTCTATCGGGGAAGGAGCTTACAATGCAAGAAGTGTGATCCAAGATCAGATACATATCCATGTGTGGAGTGCAGAACACGCTCCTGCATGCCATCGAATAAATGCTTTTGCTTAGTGGAGTTTTGCTGCCGAGTAGGAACTTTTTCAAAAGCACTTTAAATAGAGAGTCAGTGAGTTACATCAAGAATCAATGTGCCTCTTAGTTCTCTACAGTTCAACATGGTGCAGGCACAAAGAAGCCATACCATTTCTTTTGCTGTTAAACTGCTACATGTAAATGACAGGTCAAACCTGTTAGGTAATCCTCTGCTCAAAATATACCGCTTTGTTATAGCCATATTGATTCCAGGATATTAGAGAGACAAGGTGAAGAATACTGGGGAGAGAGACAAGCTTACAAGCTATACAAAAGAAGAGCTCTGTGTAGCTCGAAAACGTGTGTCTCTTTCCAACAGAAGTTGTTCCACTGCAAGGTATTACCTCACCCACCTTGTGGCTTTACTGACAGTTCTTGTGAGGTTTTCTGTTTATGGTGCCACCTGCTGGTGCTATCTCAAATCACAATTTACTCCTAATCCCCAGTTCTTCAGATTCTTTACTTCCCCAGGAAGTAAAGACAATGGCCGTTGCAGGTTTGTTGCAACATTTAGCTCTGGGTCTAGACTTCTCCAAAGTTCAGAAAGATTCAGATCTTAGGGGTTTTGATCATGTCCTAACTGTGATTTTGTTGACTGATAATATAGAAGCAGCATCTCCTCTACCTCCTTCATTCTATCCCCCCCGCCTTTTTTTTTAATCTAGCAGAGTTTTGCATGAAATAAACTGTTCACAAAGCATTGTGCTGGCAAACTGATTTGCATCTCTCTTAAACACAGACATTTGTGGGATTATATTTCCCCCTACAAAAACATGCACTGTCACAGAAAACCAATAAGTACAATGGAACTTCAGAGTTTTATATGAAGAGAGTTACAGAAATTAAACAAAGAGAAAGATGACAAGTTGGTGAAAGGGATGAGATGTTATTTCATTAAATACTTGGAGCCAGAATTTGGATCTGGTATTATTGTTGGGGAAAACAGGCCATCTAGTTGGCTTCGTCTACTAGGCTTCATTTGCTGGGAAAACCAAGGGATGTACTCAATAAACCTCACCAAATCCTGCTGACTAAATCAGGTGTGACAGACTCTGAAGCAGGGCTACTTAACTTTGGAATCCCTGGGGGCCACAATGATACTTACAGCACATGCTGAGGGCTGCAACTTAAGTGTGGTTGCATATACATGCAAATATATATGCAAAAATATGCAAATAGCTTCTTTCACACACTGCCCCAGCGCTCCCTGCATCTCCTCTCTGGAGGATAGAAATGCCGACACCGTGCACCCATCTGTTCCAGCCAGCCCGTCCACTTGTGTCTTTCAGTGCTCACCCTGCCTGGGAGACACCTCACCATTGTGGAGCGTGTTCCCAGTGGAGGCCATGTTCAAAGGATCCCACCCACAGGCCACGTGTTGAGCCCCATGTAAACCCAAACTGCACCATGGGCCACAAACAAATGGGCCATGGGCCACATGCGGCCCAGGGGCCATGTGCTGAGTAGCCCTGCTATGAAGGGTGTAGTGCCCAGTGCTCACTAGGGCCGTGTCCAGACTCAGGGTTTTTTTCGGGAAAAATAGCCTTTTCCCGAAAAAACTTCCCCTGCGTCCAGACTCAAGCCGCGTTCTTTCGAAATTATTTCGAAAGAACGCGGCTTTTCTTTCGATGGCGGTAAACCTCGTTTCACGAGGAAGAACGCCTTCCTTCGAAAGTTCCTCTTTCGAAGGAAGGCGTTCTTCAATGTAAAGAGGCCGTCTTCGAAAGAGAGCATCCAGACTCGCTGGGTGCTCTCTTTCGAAAAAGCGGATTTTTCTTTCGAAAGATCCGCCTGCAGTCTAGACGCAATCTTTCGAAAGATGCTCTTTCGAAAGATGCTTTTGAAAGAGCATCTTTCGAAAGAAGCCTGCAGTCTAGACATAGCCTAGAAGAATGACAGCTAGATTTGTGGGCTTCAGTGACCTATGGGCAGGAGAACAGCTAGAAATATGACATTTATGCAGCTAATCCACTGTCCCAGTTTGCCATAATCTCCCAAAACAGAGATGTCATTGCACACAATTAGATCATTAATACAATAGGCACAATTGTTTTATTAATTATTGTTTATATTCCAGTACAGCCTGGAGGCCCCAACCAAGATTAGGGCCACAAAATACTAATTGCTGAGCATAAGAGAGAGTCCCTGCCCCAATCTAAAAAGACAACACAGACAAAGGGTGAGAAGAAGAAAGGATTATTATTATCGCTACATGGGAAGTCAAGGATCAGAGAGTGACTATTATCACCTTTCCTTCAGTGGTGCCACAGCTGTCTTTATTGTGTATTAATTCAAGTTTATGTACTCTTAAATGAATCTCCTGAGTTAGCCTACCTGAGTAAGAATGGCTACCCTGAAATAATACTTGAGCTGCTATGTTTACACTGTAGCCGCACTCACTAGTGTATGGCAGTCTAAACTACATGGCTCCATCGATGGAGCCATTAGATTAGGCTGATGGCCAAAGAGAAATGAAGCCGCGATTTTAATAATCGGGGCTTCATTTAAATTTAAATGGCTGCCTCGCTCTGCCGATCAGCTGTTTGTCGGCAGATCGGGGCAGTCTGATGCGCCGCTGTCGACAAGGAAGCCTTTGTTGATCGGCGCAGGTATGCCTCGTGAAACCAGGTTTACCTGCGCCGATCGACAAAGGCTTCCTTGTCGACCGCGGCACATCCAGACTGCCCTGATCTGCCGACAAACAGCTGATTAGCTGTTTGTCAGCAGAGCGGGGCAGCCATTTAAATTTAAATGAAGCCGCGATTATTTTAATCGTGGCTTCATTTCCCTTTTTTGAATAAACTAATCTGACGGAGGCATGTAGTTTAGACATACCCTAAGAGTTCTGGGGGCACACCCCATGGTTTTCGTGCTGCACAAAACTGAGCCACACTATGAATTCTTTCCTTGTGAAGTGTGAGAGTTCTTATCTGTCCTTTTGGGACACACAGGGAATTATGGGAAAACATTGGAGGACTAGAAGCTCTCAAGTGGCTCTGGCATATGTCCACCCAACAGAGTGGTCATGTCAGTAGCTGACATGATCACTTGGGCTGCCCAACTTGAGTTGAAGGATTCTTATCTTATAACCACCATTAACTTGGCAGTGAAGAGAAGCCAATTGAAAGGGCCCCCACAGCAGGCAGCTAACCTGGGATACACCTTCTGAAGAGGATCCCCATTAAGGATCAACTTGTGGCTGGACTGTCTTTATGCCCTGATCTCCACTGGGCTGATGTGGACACAATATATATCCATCTGACCCTGCCTCCCCATCTCAACTCTTCCTCCTTGTAATTTCCAGAACCAGGAGAGCATGCTCTGCATGACACAGGAGGAAGGAAGAAAGACTGTTATGAAGGGCTTAAGTGGGACTGCGTCGGCTTGAGCTGGCCCATAACACAAGGATGAATTTCACCTATGGTCCACCAGGGGCATGGTGGAGGCAGGGCTATTTGTGCTGTTCACTGACAACAATTTGATTCCATGTATTGCTACCTGCTCTTAATACACATCACTAGGGTTGCCAATTTTCCTGACCGGACGGACTGGACACCATTCTCGGCAATGGTATCTGGTCTGTCCAGTTGGGAAAGTTGGCAACCCTACATATCACATGCTCAGAACACAGAATTATAAAAGATGAGAGTTGGAAGTGATCTCAGGAGGTCATCTACTCCAACCCCCTGCTCAAGACAAGACCATCCCCAACTAAATCATTAAATGGGCACATTAAATAAATCATTGAAATATACAGGTAAATAAGAATAAATAAGATGTATATCACACAAAGGCCACTTATTTTTTCTTTTTTGTGTTTGCCCAGCAATAAGAAGCATGTGCAAACTCCTCACAACTTGTCTGGGTTTCCTTTTGTGCTTGTAATATTATGGTCATTAAGTCAATGCGGAATAACTACACTAATTGCTTCCATTTCTTTTCTGAAACTCAGCCTAATTTAAGATTTTTTTGAAGAAGATTAAATAAACATATTCCCTGCACAGCCCAGGCTGATACAAAATTAATTGTAACGCACATAGCAGGTTAGAGATGTACTCCCATCAAGAAACTCTCACCCTATAATAGGATGACCTATTGCAGGTGCAACATCAAGGAAAACAAGCTCAGAGAGATCTGAGTTCCACAGGGAAAATGATCAGAGCTATGACGTGCATCAGCTAGTGCTGTAGTAGATAAAGACATGTCATCGGTAGCAGTATAATCCTGCTTTTATTTTCTTTGAACCTAGGCTCTGTCTTGCCACTCTTATGAGAGAATTTTCATTAGCTTCAAAAGGACTACTAGCCCAAGTTGCAGAATCAGGTGAAAGGTTCAAGATCTGTAACCTGTGGATCATCAGAGAGCCACAGAACTCTTCCAGAATTAAAATATTTTGAGAACCAATCTGTATGGACACTGAGGGGTCAGGACAAAATATGGTTGATGAGAGGTCCATGAATGGTCTACAAAATTAAAAGATAGGAGAACTACCATCTTATACAATTCTATTCTTCGTCTCTAAATTCTTCTTGCACTTTTAACTAGATAAGATATTCTTCAACTCCAGACCTGAAGGGATGAAATGTTATGCATTCTCCCACAATTGTTGCATTTAAGCAAGAAGTGAAGTGATCCCAGTGCGAGCTTTGTACATGAGCTCATTCATAAACCATTTCACAATCCATAACTATATAAACAGATAATTAAAAAGATAAAGAATGGCTTGAACGTTGCTAACCCAAAATAAAATGTAGATCACATTTTGAGTGTACCAGATGTCAGAGTTTTCCTGTAAGTTTTCTACGACAACACTGCGTGTCTCTGTGCTGTCTTGTGAATATCACTTTACATAAACATAAATCAGTTACCCTGGGGTCATGTTTTATTGTCTTTTTGCACAACCATGAGCCTGGATTATAAAAAAGACCCACTTAGATTCTAGTAGCTTCCCATGACTCTGGGCACTATGGCATTAAGTATGTGCCTGTGCAAGGATGTATCACTCTGGGGAGCAGAGCTTGAAGAGCTCAGCTGAACACAGAAGATCATATTTTAAACATTACACAATCTGCTGTGAATCTAATATCGTTCTAGTATCCTGAGTGGGCAGGCTTGGTGTGTGGCTAGGGTTTGATGGGACTGCCATGCCTTCCCCCCTCCAGTTCAAGTCCTGCCCTGGGTAACTCTGTTGAAGGCAGTGGAGTTACATCAGTGTGAAACTGAGCCAACATTGTCAGGATGTTTATTTTTCAGATATGCAGTACTATTATCTTTACACATGGTGGTGCTGCAACACATTTTTTGTCCCAGGTTAAAAGTGCACTGGCAACGGCAGCAAATGATAGCCTAAAAAACCTGAGTACTTTAAAAGCTGTATGTCAGTTTCCAATCGTGCCCTCTGACTCAAACCTATTTGCTTTCTTACACCCTCTCCTTTTTGCAAGTAAGTTGATTTTTGTTCTTTTGTGGGCTAGTAAGGGGCTTGTTCATTGCAATGTAAATTTGAAATGGCACTCTGGCTGATAGATTCAAGGTCATTTTGTACATTTGCAATGGTAATATTAAAAATTAGAGAGCTCCACGAAAATGATATGGCTAAACAATTGCAGAAGTTTCCAGAAATGAAATTCACCATGGCTTAGTTAAGACAGAAGGACAAAAAAGGGGCATCATTAGATCCCTTTTTTAAACTGGTAATAGTACATTTGTGGATAAATGGAAATTGAATAGGTATGTTTCAAAAGAAAATTCAGAAATATGCTACTTGATTAATCTTTTACTTCACCAAAACCATACTGCCAATCTCAAACATTCAAAAGTCATACTTAAAAACCAAAAACTGGTCTGGTAGCACTTTACAGACTAACAAACATGTTTTGTTAGTCTATAAAGTGCTACCAGACCTGGTTTTGGTTTTTAAGTGTATCCTGTACAGACTAACTTGGCTACCCCCTGAAGATTCAAAAGTCATGTCAGTCTCCCCCATCACAAGGGACTAAAAATCTAGAGATTTGAAAAAAATAATTATGCAGAGGTTCTTTGTGTGTACTTTTCTTCATGTCAGTCTCCCCCATCACAAGGGACTAAAAATCTAGAGATTTGAAAAAATAATAATGCAGAACTTCTTTGTATGTACTTTTCCGTTTCTGAGCCTTGCTTCATGTTTTCAAGCTTTTCTCTGCAACCACACAGACTAGATATGTATTTTTCTTAAAATGGAGAATGAAGAGCCATTTGATTCCAGGAGTTGGGGCTGGAGAAACTTGTATTAAGAGATTTGTTATAAGATCACAAGAGCCGGCCACACTGGCCATGACCTGGTTGAGAAGGTCATGACGAGGTTCAACGGGGTCTCGTTCAAACCTAGTGAAACCTAGTGCCACTAGTGGCATTACCATTTTATGCCACGCTGACAACATGGTGTGAGAGTATTGCAGTGGCGTCACTGGGGCATATCATTACAGTGGTCAGCACTCTGGTGGCCTCTCTATACATGGCCATGGCATGTTGCTTGGTGTGACTGGGTGTCACCATAGCAGTGCCACAAGGTGCTGCCATGGGTCACTTTGTGTGGCCCCTCCCGTGTGTCCTGGGCCCTGCAATCATGGCTTGGCTCAGCACTCAGACGCCCCAATGCGGCAGCAGGTCCAAGCCCACTGCAGGAGCCAGCCCCCAGAGACACCAGGCCTTGTTTACCTCCCAGCCCGCCTCGCCCCGCCCACTCGCTCCCAGAGCTTCCAAATCACGTGATCCCCCAACCGGCGCTTCTTGCGGCCCCCTTCAGCATCACGAGACCTTGCTGGGAACCCCATCGCTTCCTCTGGAGATACCTCCGCGCTACTCCGCCGCGGGGCATCCCGAGCTTGGAACACGGACCGACGGGAGAGACAAGAGACCGCTCAGAGGAGACAGCGAGGTCGGGGCGCGGGCAGGCGGCGCCGCATCGCGCAGGGCGGGGCTAATCCAGGGAACTACTTTCCGCAGCGGAGGGATTCGAGGAATGACTGGGTGAGCTGACGAGGGGAGGAGGGAGGCAGGGCCAAGATGGCGGCGCCCTGTGGGCTAGAGGAGCCCCGAGTGGTAAACAGCTGAGGTGCAGAGGAGGAGGGGTGAGTATCCCCGATCTCCACCCAGGAGGGAGATGGGGGGAGAGGGAGAGGGAAAGGGGGGAGGGGATACAAAGAAAAAGGATTGGGGGAAGCGAGGGGTGGGGA